CGCCAGGCACCCCTGTGATGAATCAACAGGGGGCCGCCGATCGAACACGCCTACGGCGAATCACTGCCGCCTCCTGCCTTTTTGGAAGCGCGTCTGTGGCCGACAGCTGGGCCAGAGGTTTGCCAAGCTATCGGGCCAGTTGTTCCCCGAGTCGGTTTGGAAAGAATTCGGGGAACGCGTGGGGGAGCAAGAAGAGGAGGAGAGGGAGGATGAGGAGAAAGTAGGAGGTGGAGGAGGAGGAGGAGGAGGAGGAGGAGGAGGAGGAGGAGGAGGAGGAGGAGGAGGCCTCTTGGGCGCCTCTTGGGGCACTCTTGGGGCCTCCTGAGGGCCTCCTGAGGGCCTCTTGGAGGGTTTTGGGGGGCCTGTGGGGGCTTCTTGGGGGCCTCTTTGGCCGTCTTAGGGCGTTCCTGGCTTGTCTGACGCCGTCGGAAGCCGTCTTAGGGGTCTGTCTGGGTCGTCTTGGGGCCCTCTTGGGGCCTTGTTGGGGGCCTCTTGGGCCGTTAAGGGGCAATTTTGGATGCCTCGTGGGCGATCTTGGGGGCTTCTTGGGCCGTCTTGAGCCGTCGGAATGCCGAAAAGAAGCAAATGCAATAATCCTTCCACAACCTACGGGAAATCAATGATTTTGGCCTCTTCGGGCCCGGAGGCCTCTTGGGCCGTCTTGGAGGCCTCTGGGGGGCCTCTTGGGCCGTCTTGGGCCATCTTGAGGCCATCTTAGGCCGTCTTGGGTACATCTTGGGCCGTCTTCGAGGCGTCTTGGGGCCATCTTGGCCGTCTTGGAGGCCATCTTGGGCGTCTTGGAGGCCTCTCGGGCGGTCTTGGGGCCCTCTTGGGAGCATCTTGGGAGCCTCTTGGGCCGTCATGGGGCCATCTTGGACGCCTCGTGGGCGATCTTGGGGCGATCTTGGGGGCCTCCTGGGCAGTCTTGGGCAGTCTTGGGCAGTCGGAAAGCCGAAAAGGCGCAAATATCAAAATCCTTTGAAACCTAAGGAAAATCAATGATTTTGGCCTCTTCGGGCCCTCCTGGAGGCCTCTGGCCTCTTGGAGGCCTCTTGGGACGTCTTGGAGGCCTCTTGGGGGCCTCTAGGCCATCTGGAGGCCATCTCAGGTAGTCTCGGGTGCATCTTGGGCCGTCTTGGAGGCATCTTAGGGTCATCTTTTCCATCTTGAAGGCCATCTTGGGCGTCTTCGAGGCCATCTTGGGCCGTCTTGGAGCCGTCTGGATAGGAAAAACCCTTTGGAGCGGGGTCTGGGCAATCTTTCCGGGACCCCAGCGGGACGCGCCGGAGGCCCAGGGGGAGTTCTTTTGGAAAAAGAACCAAAACCAAAACCGAGAAACTTCAGCACGCCAGGCACCCCTGTGATGAATCAACAGGGGGCGGCGGATCTAGTGATAGTGATCTTCGGCTCATCCCGCCACCGTGCCTGGATCGTGGGTTAGAGGCCTCTTGGATGTTCGTTTGGATATCGTGGGAGGCCTCTCGGGGCCTCTTGGAGACAGTTTGATTCCTATTGGGGGTCGTTGTGGGCCTCTTGGGGCCTTCTTTGGGGCCTCGTGGGGGCCTCGTGGGGCCTCTTGGGGACCTTGGGCTCTCTTGGGGGCCTCTTGGCCTCCTGGGGGCCTCTTGGGGCGGAAGGCTCGAATTGTCGGTTCGTGTTCCCTCACTTGGGCCCCTCTTGGGGGCCTTTTGGGCGATCTTGGGCGCCTCTTGGGCCGTTTTGGGGTCCTCTTGAGGGCCTCTTGGGCCGTCTTGAGGCGGTCTTGGGGGCCTTTGGGGGGCCATGTTGGAGCGCGGGAAGCCCGAAAATGGCAGAACGCGACAAACATTGAAACACACAAGGACAATTCATGCTTTGTGTCTCTTTGGACCCTCTTGGGGGTCCTCTTCGAGCGCTCGTGGGGCTTCTTTGGGGCCTCTTGGGCCGTCTTGGGCCCGTCTTGGGGCCGTTTTGGGCGTCTTGGAGTGCTTTTGGGCTGTCCTGGAGGCCTCTTGGACCCTCTGGGGCGCTTTCTGGGGCCTTCTTGGCCTGTCTTGGGGCCCTCTGGCCTCTGGAAAAGTCACGCGAGGCAGTCCAAGAATGCACGGGGACGCCTGCGAAATTAGAGAATTTGGGGCCCCAGCCCTTCGACTACTATAATCCCAGAGTCCTGGGTACAGAGAACAGAGGACACCCGAGACCCTGGAGAAAACTCCACTTCGCGCCTCGCGGCACGGTGGTGGATTTTCATATGATATATGTTTATGGCTATATGAAGTGAAACGGGGAAGAAGTGCCGGCGACAAGAGCCCTGTGCCCCAATGGGTCTGGCGGATGACAGCGTCTACATCTACGTCAACACCTATAAAGACATCAGCTTCGGCATCTGCATCTGCATTGACATTAACAGTGACATGCGCATCCACATCCACATCTGCATTTACATCGGCTGGTATATGCGAAATCACGTACACACCCACATTTTTGATATTTCTCTCCACATGTTTGGTACATGTGTGGTAGCATCACGTACGCGTCCACATCCAGAGCAACATTTGCATCCTCAGTTGCAGCTGTGGCTGTACCCATCCTTTTTCCTTGCTGGTATAAGCTCCCACTCTGCTACCTAATTGGCTGGCCGATAGCCCTCTCATTCAGGACCTTCCAGTTTACCATCACCAAATACTGCAACCGTGCAGTCTTCCCAGCCAATCTGGATCTTTGGGCGTCGACGTTGCAAGTTGTGGCGTTTCCGTTTTCGCGCCGCACATCGTTTTCGCTTGCCGAGCCGATGGCAGGCGGCAGCAGGGCCTCGTGCGAGAGGTCAAAGTGTAGTCTCGCCAAAGACGTCGCGCAGATTTCGCGCGAAAGTGGCGGTTCGGTTTTGGCGCGGCACATGCACTGTCTTCGCTGTTCTCACCGGGGGTGCGGCCCTGCCAATGGAGGCCAAATGGTGTTCTCGCCCGCAGCGCCGCGCAGGGAGTTTCTGGAACTTCCGCTCCCGCCTCGTGCGCGGCCCGTGCTCTTTCCACATCCCAAGTCGTCGGACATGGAACCGCACGTGAGCACCTTTCGCTCGCTAGATGGGAGCGCGCGCCAGTCCTAATTGAAGTCTGGGCCATCTCGTTGTTTCCTGCGTATTTGAGGGAGGGTTGGAGTCTGCGGGCCCGCTGACTCGTTCGACCTCGCTAGCTTGGCACCTGCACCTGCTCCTACATCGACAGGCACCGACATCTCGAGACCTGAACGCGTCTACACCTCTGTGTGCCCACACCTCTACACGTCTACACGCGCACACCAGTACACCTCTACATCCTCACACCTCTACAGGTGCACTCGCACTGACACCCACACCCACACCCTCATCTTTGCGGCAGCCTTCCCCTGGGGAATTCAATCAGTTGTTTATTCCCAACCATCCTGTGGTGTTCGGGTCCTTGTTTTGAAGAGACAGCGCCCCGCGTCTCCTCACTCCTCCTCCCCCTCCTCCCCCTCCCCTCCCTGCCTCTGCTCTCTCGCATGCCCATTTCGGCGCACCCTTCACACGCTTCTTGGCCCCATAGGGAGCTCCACCGAAGATCCCAGAGGCAGGGTCCGCATGCAGTTGCACCTCCATTTCGGCGCAACCGTCACACGTTTCGTGGCCCCATAGGGTGCTCCACCGAGGGTGCTCCACCGAAGGCCCCAGTGGCAGGGTCCGCATGCAGTTCCACCTCCACTTCGGCGCACCCCTGAAACGTTTCGTGGCTCCATAGGGCGCTCCGCCCAATGCCCCACTGGCAGGGTCCGCATGCAGTTCCATTTCCATTTCGGCGCACCCCTCGCCCGTTTCGTGGCCCTATAGGGAGCTGCGTCCAAGGCTCCAGCGGCAGGGTCCGCATGCAGTTGCACCTCCATTTCGGCGCACCCCTCAAACGTTTCGTGGCCTCATAGGGAGCTCCACCGAAGGCCCCAGTGGCAGGGTCCGCGTGCAGTTCCACCTCCATTTCGGCGCACCCCTTAAACGCTTCGTGGCCCCACAGGGTGCTCCGCCGAAGGCCCCTGTGGCAAGGTCCGCATGCAGTTCCACCTCCACTTTGGCGCACCCCGCACACTTTTCGTGGCCCCATAGGGAGCTCCACGAAGGCCCTAGTAGTGGCAGCGCCCGCACGCGGTTCCACCCTGCATTCGGTCGCACCCCTCACACGTTTCGTGGCCTCACATGTGGCTCCACTGACGGCTCCGGTGGCAGCGTCCGCATGTCGTACCCGTGTCATTTTGTGCACACCCGTCACACGCGTCGTGACCCCAGAGAGGTTCACCGATGGCGATACCCACAACTACGTTACTCACAACTGCACATGGTTGGGTCCCTCGCCAGGATAATTTGAAGTTCGTACTGACAAGTTGAGTCGCGGCAGAGGCCTCAGCCATCAAGTAGTCCTACCGTAACTGTGGGTGCCACGTGTCTCGGGGGCGAGAGATACAGAGAGAAGCTCAGCTGGGGATTGTCCAATCGGAGCGCGCTCCACCGAACGCCCATATCTATACCCGCACCCGCACCCGCACCCGCACCCGCACTCACTCCCACATCGACATCGACATCCACACCGACACCTTTGGCGACGCTCACATCGACACCTACACCTACACCCACACCTGCACCGCCACTGACACCGACGCCGACGCCAGCAACTACACCTACACTCGCACCTGCACCTGTGCCTGCACCTGTGCCTACACCTGCGCCTTCACCTGCGCTTGCATCTGCATCTGCGCCTGCGCCTGTGCCTGCCCTTGCGCCTGCGCCTGCACTGGCCCTTCCCGCCTGTGAGCATGTCCTGGACTCCCATGTCGAGGCTGCCCGCGGTGGCGCAAGGGTTCCGAGCGGGCCTATGCTCACGGATTTCTGGGGCTCTTCCCAGGGCCCGTCCTCCGTTTCGAGGCCAATGTGGTGAACATGCGCCAGGATTGAGACAGGAAGACACCACCAGAAGCCTCTCGTGTCGTCCGCGCCCGGTGAGAACGCGGCCCGAGCGCAGGAGCGACTGCCTGCCGGGGCCGCTCCTGACGGACGTCAACAGCGACCCCTGGAGCTGCCTGCCCCTCGGCTCCCGCACGCCTGGCAATGCGGCGCGACCGGCGCCGGTGCTCGGGCCCCCCCCCGCCGTGGCAGTGGTGGTGGGTCGAGTTGGTCGTCGTGGTGGGTCGTCATGGTTGTCGCGCTCTTCGTGTCCCTCGTGGTCGTCGTGGTCTTCGTGGTCATCGTGGGTCGTGGTGGTGGGTCGCCGTTGTCTTCGTGGTCGTCGTGGTGTTCGGAGTTGTCGCGCTCTTCGTCGTCTTCGTTGTCATCGTGGTCTTCGAGGTCATCCCGTGAGATCCTGGCGTCGCATTTTTTTGCAGCGGGCGATTTTGCATTGTTCTGGGCGCCTGGATCCTCACGGATCGACCGGATCGATAATAAGACAGAAAGTTTGAGTGCAGATCTCCGCTCGTTTTTTTGTTTTGATTTTTAGCGATGCTGCAGTTTTTCGTGGCGTCGGATCTCAGGGGTCGTCGTGGCCTTCGGAGCCGCCCGCCAGTTGATGGTTTCCCGTGCTCTCGGCGGCTTCCAGGGGTCGGGGCCCCCATCCGCTAGTCAGACCTCGACGGGAGCCTCCGAGCGGCGGTGCCGACCGATGTTGTTACAATTAACCCGCATACTAAGGATGATTGACTTCCCAAGGATCATTACCCTTGCATCCTTTCGGCGGCGAGCCTGGGGGGAGAAGTGAGAAGGGGTGGGCCTTCTCAGAAGGCTCGGAAGTCCCCTGGCCTTCGAGAAGTTTTCTAAGCCTTCTTCGAAGACACAGAAAACCTCTCAGAAGGCGCGAGGGCTTTGAGAAGCCCCGCCGCCTTCTGAGATGGCCTTGTCCTTCTCACTTCCCCGCTCGCTCGACGCCGATCCTTGCCCCTTTTGTCATCTTCGGTCCATCATCATTTCGATGGCTGGCCCCGCTCGAAGAGCCTGAGCATTCGCGTCCAAGGCCCTTGTATCCTTACCGCGCACCCTTATATATGGGTTGACTATCGGACGGAGCTGGGAGGGATGAGGATGAATCCGTTCCACAGCTTTCCGGAACGCTCTCAGAGCGCTCCAGGACATTCGGAGAGGGCCGTGGCGCCCGAGACATTTTCCAGAGCCGCCGGATCTCAGAGCTTCTCGATTTATTTTCACCCGATCTTACTGTAGGCTTCCCGCAGGGCTCAGACCTCAGGTTAAGTCGGCGTGTCCCTCCACAGGAGGAATATTCAAAAGTAGTAAAAAAATAGTCAGGGGACGATATCCGAGTATTTTTTGATCACTTTGGGGCATTTTTGGTGTATCTCTGAGTTTTCGCCCAAAATCGCCTGTAGTCGGATGTGCCCGGCCTGAACCTCCGGACGCGCCGCGAGAGCGCCGCGGCAGGGCGTGGCCTTCGCAGTGTCGGGCGCGGGGGGGGGGGGGTCGCCGTCGGCCCCCCCGGGGACCGCAGGGGGAGGGCCCGCGGCAAGCGAGCCAGCTGATTTTGCTGCGCGGCCGGGAGCAGGGCGCGCGTCGCGAGCGACGCGCTCCAACAAGAGCGGCCTCGCCCTCCAGTTTTTCGGCGAGCGAGGGGGGGGGGAGCGAGAAGGACGAGGCCTTCTGGGAAGGCGGCGGGACTTCTCAGAAGCCCTGGCGCCTTCCGAGAAGTGTTCTGTGTCGTCGGGGAAGGCTCAGACAACTTTTCAGAAGGCCGGGGGGCTTCCAAGCCTTCTGAGAAGGCCCGCCCCTTCGCACTTCCCCCGCGGGCTCGCCGCTGGTCCCGGGGACGAGCGGTCGACGTGGCTTCCTCGGCCCGAGGCGGGGGCAAGCCTGCTGAGGCCTCGGACAGCGCAACGTTCCCCGCAGTTAGTCTTAGGTCGGGCATGTCCCCCTACAGGCGGATGTTAGGCGAAAAATTAAAAGTTCACCAACAATTAACAAAAGGGATCAAAGCATAAAAAAAGTCCCCATTTGTTTCTGCTATTTTTGAAATTCCTCATGTAGAGGGACACGCCCGACTCAGAGTTAGTCCTGGGTGGCCTCAGCAGGCCCCCGAGCAGTCTGGGGCGGTCTCGGCATCGTGGCGCCGCTTCCGTCGGTGCCCCCCTGCGGCGCTCCGCGCCCCAAGGTTTAAACAGGGCGTGTCCCTCTACAGGAGGAAATTGCAAGAATAGTAAAAATGAATGGGCTGGGGGTGAGTTTTTGAGTATTCTTGTAACGATTTTCAAGGTTTCTTGATTATTTTACCTCCAGCATCCGCCTGTAGGAGGACATGCCCGACCTGACCCAAGGTTGGGGTGCTGAGGCCGCCCCAGACTAATCGGAGTCCATCCCGGACCACCTGGGGGGGGCTGTCTGTGCGCAGCCCGAAGCTTCACCATCAGGACCAGCGGAAGCCGGCGGAAGCACAACGAGGAATGTTCCGCTGGCGGAAGCTGCAGCTGCACCCCTGAGAGTTCTTCTTGGGGGGGGGGTTCTGGGCTTCAGAGCGCATGCCCTGGCCCGGCGACAAAGGGCACTCGAGGCGATGGCGGACCGACGTGTCAGGGCGCCGTGTCTCCACCTGGCCAGGGCACGCTCGACTTTCCGCCGCGCGCCTGCCCTGGCACCCCGAGGGTTTTGCTCACCGTGGCGCCCATGCAGTCAGGCAGGATGGCATGGTGTTCCGAGGACGGCGCGTCTTTCGACCTCTGAGGTAGGCGCTGGGAAGTTGACCGCCCTAGCCCATATCCCCGTTCTCTCGGTACGATCCAAATCCGAACGGGAAGGCTGGGGACGACGACCAGCAGCAGTTCCTGTCGATCTTAAGCAGGGTTCGCTGTCGGTTTTGCTGCGGACGTTGCTCATTTGAGACAGCAAGTCGCCTGCCTAACAGCTGCCGCTGTCGTTTCCGGACATCATTTGCTGTTGTGCACCATCCTCTGTCGTGCATCGTGCCCGCTTTTTCTGTACCCCTCTCGGGCTTGCCCAAGTCTCGAGTGAATCTACGGTCAACACTTACGAAGCTTACATTTGCATCCTTCCCTTTCGGCCCGTCCTTGGCCTTTTTCGCTGGCCGCGCCCCGCTCAAGAGGTGTCGGCGTGGCCTTCCAAGGCATCCTTTCCGCGCATCCTTACTCTGCGGTCTGACTGTGTTCATCACGGTCGCTCGCCGAGCTGGCCCACGCAACCCCCTTCGTGCTCCCTCCCCCCTCGCCCCCGTGCGAGGGGAGAGGGGGGAGGAGAGTGCTTGGCCGGAGCTGGCCGCGACGGGAGCGCCGCAGGTGCCGGTGCCGAAGTGGGTCGCCACGGAGTGCAGCGGCCCGGGGAAGGACTGCAGCAAGACGCACTGCTGCTCCCAATCGGGCGCGCAGTGCTTCGAGAAGGAGGCGGGGTCGTGGGCCGCGTGCAAGGTGCCAGGCCGCCCAACTGATTCGTGGCCTGAGCAATTCGTCAGACGGGGTCCGAGGATCGCGCCGCGTCGGCGATGCGTTCGCTATCCAGAGCCCGTCCAGAGCCCGGGTTTCTCCACCCCGACGTCGCCGAGGCGTCGTCGGTGCATCGGCGCTGCGGTGCGATCCTTCGTCATCGTCTACTCTGGCCCCGTTCGGGCCGCCACCAAAGGTGGCATGCGAGCCAGGTCAGCCCGACCCCGAGGACACGAACGACGCCCCGTGGACGTGCGCCAGGCTGGGCCCTCGCACTGGCGAGGCCTCGTGGCACGAGACCTCCCTGTACTGCTTCTCGATCATCCGGGACTCTGGCTACGAGCCCGAGCTGATCAGAGCCCAGCTTCCTCTCGGGGCTGGCATTTTCGGGTGCGACGAGTACGGCCTGTACTCTACTGGCTCCGCCGTGCTCGGCGAAGACGTTTTCGGCCCAGTGGTCAGCACCCCGTTCCCCGGGGCAGAGGTGGGCACCAGCAAGGACGGTACGGCGGCCAACACCAGGCTTTTCCTCAACGCTTGGGAGGCGGTGAACAAAGACGGTCGTTAGGGCAGAAGAGCATTCCGATACCGATGGCCATCCACTCGGTTTCGACTTTTTGGGTCCTCCCAGGGGGGGGTCTGGGGATTGGTGGTATCAGTATCTTCTGCTCCCCCAGGTCGCTTGTGGAATCACGACTGGACGGTGAAAGTGGACCCCGATGCCGTGCTACTACCCGACAGGCTTCGTGTCCGACTCAAGCCGCTCACTGGCAGCAATTCGTACATTGTCAATTGCGACAAACCTGGAATGGCACCCATGATGTTCGGGTCTGTGGAGGTATTTTCCTTCCAGGCGATGCAGACCTTCTTTAGAGATGGCATGTCCTGCAGGAACAACATGCCGATCGACTCCTGGGGCGAGGACCTCTTCATTGGAGAGTGCCTGAAGACGCTGGGCACCAGCGCCGTAGACGACTTCTCGATGGTCCAGGACGGCGTGTGCAAGGGTGTCTTCTGCGGGGACATGTCTGCCGCTGTGTTCCACCCCTTCAAGACGATGGACGGGTGGATGGACTGCTACAAGCAGACTCAGAGGTGAGCCGGCGACGCCGCAGGCGTCGGGGGACGATCATTACGCATACCACCTCGCCGATCCTGGTCTGGGCCGATCCTGGCCCCCGGCTTGGTGCGCACGCGCCTCCTCGGCGAGGCCAGGAGGCCGTCGGCACCGATCCTGGGCCCGGGATGGGCTCGGCCAGGCTCGGTCGGGCGGCCAGCTCCGGCGTCCGCCCGAGGCTGCCTCGGTGCGGGCCTCCAGCAGGGAGCCGAGCCCGGTCCGGAGCACCCCGCTGCCGGCGGCGGTGGGGGCGCGGAGAGCGGCGCTCGCCGACCTGAGGTCTCGCCTGTTCGCTGCCCGCCCTCCCTCGCACTGCTCGCCGCTCGCGCGGCGGGGCTGCTCGCTCGCGCAGTGGGGTTGCTGGGGCGCTGCCGCGCCCCACCGCGGCGGGCTTCGCCCGCGCGGCGGGTCGGGCACGCACGGCCCGCCGCCCCGTGCTCTCGCACCGCTCGCGCCAGGCCGCAAGGGCCGAGCGGCCTCAGCTGAGGCGGGGCGATTCACACATAACCACCGCCTGGAGGATCGATTTTCGCGGACCTCCGAAGGCGGTGCATACGCATAGGGTGTGGCCCCCGGGGGAGAAGTATGTTCATACCCACCGCCCGCTTGGCCTCCAGGGCGTCGGTTCCCAGGCGGTGGATACGGATAACTCCCCGCCCCGCAGCATAGGCCTCCCTGGGCGGCCACGCTTCGCGGGCTCCGCGGGTTGCCCGGCCGCGCATACTTGGCCGACGCAGGCGCGGTCGGAGCAGCGCGCCGCGTCGCCAGCGCGTCGGTGATGCTTGGCCGCGCGCTCAAGGGGGCGGCGCGAGGGGGCGGCCTTCAGAGCAGGGGGGGGGGCCTTCGTGTAATGGCCCAGGGGCCTCTAAGACGCCTTCCTTGTTCGCCGGGAGGGCTGATGAGAACGCGCTGCCTTCCCAGTAGTTCCCCCGCCTTCTCAGAAGGCCGCCTGCTTCGCCCTGACCCTCTGGGCGCAACGCCAGGGTGCGGCGCGGTCGGGGGCCAGGTTTTCTCCATCCCGACGTCGCCGATGCATCGGCAATGCGGTTCTGTCGTCCGACCCTGCTTGTTTTGCGCCATTTTGGAGGCAGCCAGCGGATGGTGCGTCGAGAGCGGCGCAGACCCGCCTCGGGAATTTGGCTAACGCCTGGCTAGAGTCCCTGGCATTAGTTAGCTTCGATGCTCAGTCCATGTTAGGCGAAGTCTCCCGCGCGTGGTGCGTGCACAGCCCACACTATTGGGGGTACTTTAGTCCAGATGCTATCCGTTCTGGTGCGTAATTCATGAGCAGATCATCTTTCGTTTGCAGCGGTCTGCATCTGCGAAGCATGCGCAGATTTGCGGCCATAGCGATGGGTCTTGCCCCTCAGATCTGTTCAGCGTTTCGTGTTGACGGCCGTGCTGTAGTAAACGATGTGGAATTATTCACAACAGAGCTCACGCTGTGCCGCGGCGCAGGCCAGAGTGCTTCAAAGCTCGCACGATGGCGCAGAAAACACACTGGGGCGTTTCAGTCTCCTGACGCCTCTCCGCTGCCGGCTCTCCCCCGTCGCCTCCTCGCCATCTCCTCATCCCTCCCAGCCTGTCTACTCCCATGCCGCCCTGCAGAACATCGCGGGAGTAGTCTGACTTACAGTCGCAGCGGCTCGTGCCGAGGAGGAGGAGGAGGAGGAGGAGGAGGAGGAGGAGGAGGAGGAGGAGGAGGAGGCGGAGGCGGAGGAGGCGGAGGCGGCGGAGGCGGCGGAGGCAGAGGAGGCGGAGGAGGCGGAGGAGGCGGAGGAGGAGGAGGAGGCGGAGGAGGAGGAGGAGAGGAGGTGGAGGAAGATGAGGAGGCGGGAGGAGGAGGAGGAGGGAGGAGGAGGAGGAGGAGGAGGAGGAGGAGGAGGAGGAGGAGCAGGAGCAGGAGCAGGAGCAGGAGCAGGAGCAGCAGCAGCAGCAGCAGCAGCAGCAGCAGCAGCAGCGGCGAGCCGCCGAGTAGGGAGTAAAGACGGAGGGGTGCAGGACGAAAAGGTGAGACAGCACAATCGCACACATCACGTGGAGAGCATGCCGCGCACACGCTCAGCAGGGCTCTGCGGCAGTGGAGCACACCACGCCCCGTGCACGAAACCAGTCAGACACCAGCCCACGCACAGCACGGGTGTTAGTGCACATGCAAAACGAATTATTTTTTGTTCGTCGGCAACGTGGGGAAAGTGGGGTGAGTGGGAATGTGGTGGGACAATGGTGGGGACAGTGGGGAAAGTGAGACACTGGTGGGGGCACTGGTGGGGACAGCGGAGACAATGGTGGGAACAGTGGGGACAGTGGGACAGTGGTGGGGACTGGGACTGTGGGACGGTGGTGGTGGGGACAGTGGTGTGGGGACAGTGGGAATATGGTGGGGACAGTGGGACAGTGGTGGGGATAGTGGTGGTGGGGACAGTGGTGAGGGCGATGGCGAGGACGGCGGTGGGACAATGGGACAGAGGTACAGTGGGGGCAATGGTGGGGACAGTGGGGACAGGTGGGAACAGTGGGACAGAGCTCAGTGGACAGCGGCGGGGACAGTGGGACAATGGGACAGAGGTACAGTGGGGACAATGGTGGGGACAGTGGTGCGGACGGTGGTAGGGACCCTGGAGTCGTTTGCCAGCGGTGAGCGTGGGGGGTGGGGGGGGGATGGATTCGAACCGGTAGTGACCCCCCCGGATTTCTGGAGGGGTGGGTGGGGGGTTCGAACCCGTAGTGACCCCCCCCGGTTTTTTGGAGGGGGGGAAGGGGTTCAAACCCGTAGTGACCCCTCCTGGTTTCTGGGGGGGGGAGGGGTTCGACCCCCCCCCGGTTTTCTAGAGGGGGAGGGGGTTCGAACCGGAAGTGACACCCCCCGGGGGGGGGGAGGGGTTCGAACCGGTATTGACCCCCCCTGGTTTTTGTTGGGGGGGGGAGGGATTCGAACCTGTAGTGACCCCGCCCCGGTTTTCCGGAGGTGGGAGGGGGACGTAGGGGGGAGCGGTTTGCCAGGGGGAAGGGGGGGGGTCCAGCAGGAGGGGGGGGATTTTCGGAGGGTGGGGGACTCCCGGGTTCGGAGGAAGAGGGGAGGGAATTTTCCACAGGAAAGCGGCGGTGGATCACGCTCTCTCAAATCACGGGAGCCTTATAAACCCGCTTTTCATTCCGTCTGTGGCGTCGATTCGCGTCGGCTAGCTTCTGGGAGAGTCGATGAGATAGCGCCGGTTAGCGTCGATTTGCGTCGATTTAGCGTCGATTAGTGTCGATTTAGCGTCGGTCAGCGTCGATTCGCAAGAGCCGACAAGATGGTATGGGAGGCTCCAATCAGTTGCCACCGAACTCCTCTCGCCGATCAACGAGCCGATCAACGATTCGGGCAACCCGATGGGCGGCGGGGGTAGGGTTCGGAATTCCTGGAACACGTGGCGAAATTCGAACCTCACCCCTGCCTCCCATCGATTCAGGAGAACCGATGGGAGGCAGGGGTAGAGTTCTGATGTCGTCACCTAGCCACGGGGGCGGGACTCGAACCTCACCCGAGGTTTCACCCGCCGCAAGAAAAGAGGGGCTCCGCCAGCTTCTCCACGGGCGAGGGACGCCCGAGGCCCCTGCTCGGAGCCGCAGGCCGAGGGCGCCTCCCTGGAGCCCCCCGCCAGAGCCGAAGCGGCCGCTCGCACGAGCGAAAGGATCGTGGCGTCAGCATCGGCGGGGCCGACGCCCGCCCCGCCGCGCTGGCAATCGGGCACGCGCGCGGTGTGGGCAGCAAGGTGGTGCAGGGGGGGGGGGGGAGGCGCCAGCCACAGCTGCCAGTGGGGAGCCGCCTCCGAGAACGTGCAGCGGAGGCCCATGCCAAGAATCACCCTGCTTGCCTCCAGGTTGCCATGGGTTTCTTGGGTTTCGATGGTTTTGCCATGGAGAGCGCGACGCTCCCACACCAAAAATCGACGGACGCCCTGGGGTCTCAGGGTTGGGTTTTTTGTGTGAGGTTTCTTGTGGTCGGGCCCCCACTGTACAGGATGGTGGAGACGCCAGCCACAACTGCCAGTGGGGGCGGGACTCGAACCTCATCCGAGGATGCACCGCCGCAGAAGAGGCTCCGCCAGCGCTTCCAGAGGCCTGGCCAGGATCCTGGGGCCAGGCTCGGGCGGGCTCGGAGGGGGAGGAGTGTGCTCGGACAGTTCCTAAACATCCAGCCCTCCCCGGTGCACATGTCCACAAGTCGTCGGGGGACAGACGGGGCCTGGGAGGGCCCTATGGGCCTCTCAACCCAGACTGGCGGAGCCTGAGGGGTCTCACTGCGCCTGCCTGCGCGCTCTGCCTTTGGCGGACCGCGCGCAACGCCGACACAGAGCACATTGTCACCCGCGAAGGGCCATCACAGGCTCACGTCCCTGCCTGGCGGGGGGTGCATGCGGGAGCGGCGGGCGCGAGGCCGCACGTCGGCCTCCCCGGCGCTGGCGCTGGCGGTGCCGCGCCTGCCGCGCCACCGGTGGGGCACGATTTGGACGCGACTCCACGAGCTCTGGAGTGCTTCAGCCACGCGCTTGTTACGCAGCCGCGCTTCCGCGCCTTGCACATCTTCGGCACGCCCGCGCAAGACTTCACGTTCTGAGTGGATCCCGCCTCTGTCCGCCTTTCCCTACGTCCCTCTCCGCTTTCTGTGCCCCAGTTCGTTCTGCCCCGCCCGTAGCCCGACCGGCGCCTGCACCGGCTTCGACCCGCTTGCGCCCGCTGACCCAAAAAAGTTCCAAGCCACGCGCAGAGGGGGTCGGGGGAAGGGGGAGGTTTTTTGGAAGCACCCCCGCTTCTGAGGGGCGGGCCTTACGTACAGATGTAGGGCCGGCGCCTTCTAAGAAGCAGCCTCCTTCTCAGAAGCCCCCTTTCCCTCCACCTCTTTGTGCGCGCCGACACAGTGAGTGTTGTCGATCCAGGCGGCGGCCTGACGCAGGCGCTCGAGGTGGCGACCATGTTGTGCCCGAGCTGCCTGCGGA